GCCTAATGTACTGGAACCCGGACGGAATACAGCAGAAGCTGCATGAACTCCGCACTGTCGCCCATCAACAGGACATACATATCATACTGCTGGGCGAAACAAAATTGAATCCAAAGACGCGCATAAAGCTGCCAAACTTTCATATTTACAGAAGGGACGAGGTCATTTCTCAGGGAGCCGCCTACAGAGGGACGGCGGTTCTAGTGAGGAGGGACATCGTCCACCAAGAGCTGGAATTACCATCCTACCACACAATGCGTTCAATCGGCATAAGAATGGAGGCGGCGGGCGAGGATCTAAGGATATATGCAGCATACCACCCGCCAGGGACTCCATTCTGCTCCTCAGACATCCGGACGGTGATGGAAGGCGATACACCTATAATCATCGCCGGGGACCTGAACGCCAAACACCCGGCGTGGGGGTCCAGAGTGATCACCCCGCCGGGTCTTGAGCTATACGAAGACGCAGAAAAGAACCAGTACGTCGTTCTAGGTCCCGAGGAACCAACACACGTTCCTACTGACCCACGGAGGCATCCGCATGTATTAGACATCGTGCTCACTAGGAACGTCAACTATCCGATAGTGGTAGGTGCTGTACGACCTTCCTTCACAGCACCTCCCGTTACTGATAACCCTTGGCCTAAAGGCAGTGACTACACCGCCTAGAGCTTTTAAAACCCGTGTCGACTGGAGGCTCTACTGTCAACACCTTCAGCAGAGACCTCCAGCACACCAACCTATAAGCACAGCGGACGACGTAGAGGCCGCTGCCACCAGAATTACCAACAACATCAAGGAAGCCCTCCACGCGGCTTCTACGGTCGTCCCGATTACAGCAAGGCGAGACGATCTGCCGCGTGAGATATGCGTGCAGATCAAGCGCAAGAGAGCGCTGAGAAAGCTCTGGGCGCGTACTCGCTGTCCCAGAATTAAGACACAGCTGAACACCTTATCGGAGGAACTGTCGGTTGCAGTCCAGGCCTTCAGAGGAGAGGCCTGGGACCGGCGCATCCAGAAGGCGGAAGAGCATGATGCGTCGCTCTATAAACTGAACCGGCAGTTGACTAAATCCAAACCTCCCGTTTGCCCGCTGACTGACAATACGGGCAAACGATGCTACGATGCCAAGGGCAGAGCGGATACCCTAGTCGAGCACTTCGAGGAGCAATTTATGCCGAACTCAGCAAGTGCGGAGTTTATGGAGCTTCATGCCCGGAAGGAAAGTCGCGTACAGGAGTTCCTGTCATCGCCCGCGCCGCCTCTTGCAGGAGACTGGTTCATCTCCCCCGCAGAATTGCGGAGGACAGTAACCTGCCTGCAACCGAGGAAGGCGCCGGGGCACGACGGGATTACTGCACTGCACTGCACTCCGACAGCTGCCCAATAGAGTCATAGTAGAGCTTGGTCGACTCTACAATGGGATATTGCGGACATCCCACTTCCCGGAGGACTGGAAAAAAGGCAAAATCATCGTCTTGCCGAAACCAGGGAAGGACAGGCGTAGAGCTGCAAACTACAGGCCGATCACGCTATTACCACATATAGCTAAACTGTTTGAAAGATTGCTGCTAAGACGTCTCCGTCCGTGCATCCAACTTCGGGCGGAGCAGCACGGATTCAGGAGGGGTCACTCCACAGTCACACAACAGACTAGAGTGCTGCTAGAAGACAGGAAGTTCTACGTCTGCGTAGAGGATGCCGAATCCGCAACGACAACCATTAAAGCCGGCGTCCCACAGGGCAGCTGTTTGTCTCCAGTCCTGTACGCGGCTTATACCAATGATATACCTAAACTGGAAGGCAGGCTTCAGAAATGGGAGGACGACGTTGAGCTGGCGCTATTCGCGGACGATAGCGCCTATTTCACCTCGTCCAGAAGAGCCCACATAGCCACTGCCAAGATGCAGCGCCTGCTGGACCTGCTGCCACCATGGCTGGATGAGTGGAGGATGGTCGTCAACGTTGGTAAGACGACCGCTCTGCTCACTCGCCGTCTCAGGAAGTTTATACCTCCGCTGACCCTCAACGGCCAGAAGATTGCGTACCAGAAGGCTGTAACATACCTTGGGTGCAGGATCGACAGGACGCTGCGCATGACCGCGCACGTCGACTTCGTCGTCCGCCGGGCCCGATGTGCGCGGGCGACGCTCTTGCCGGTCCTGGCATCCAAGCTGCCCATACGAACCAAGCTCCAGATATACAAGATGTATATCCGGACTATCATCACCTACGCTGCACCGGCCTGGTATGCACTTCTGAGCGACCCTCTGAGGCGACGACTGCAGGCCCAGCAGAATCTGACATTAAGGTCGATCGTCGGAGCAGGTTGCTACGTCTGGAACGACGTGATAGCGGCCGACTTGAAGATCGAGAACATCACCGACTTCGTGGCCCGGCTAGCGCGCGGCATGTTTGACCGTGCCGATAACGGGCCACACGAACACCTTAACGGCTTTGCGCCGTTACACACTCGGCCACCGGACGGGCGACCTCTTCCAAGAGAACTTCTCTCTATATGTGATTAGAGAGTTGAGTAACAACCCACAATGCCGCAGAAAGGCCAACTCAGACTTACCAGACAATCACCTTTTCCGTAGTTGGTTAACTACGGAAAAAATAATTTACTATCACTACGGAAAAACCCGTGATGTGCTATCGAGCCTAGAATAGGCTAAAGGACTGTCCCATAGTAATGGGATATGAGGACACCCGGGCAATGGGGGTTACCCCGAGGCCCGATACCTATACGTACATCTGTGCGTGAAGACGACAATCAACATACAAGTAGCGCCGCCAAGAGGCAGGAATGTGCAACGCTTATCACGATAATAATGCTTAAGATTCTATACAATATCTTTTCATATTCTATGAAATTTAAATCTATCTTATAATAAAGATTACATTATAAGTAATTAATTGACATATTAATTTTTATTTTAGATTACTTTAAAAGGAAAAAGAATTATATAAATCACTTATATGTTAATAGCTCTTAAAGTTATGATAAAAGAAAGTTTACTAAGAAAATAAGCTCATACTTTGCTTCTAATGTTCTAATCAAACTTAAATAATTAAATAGATTCATATACGTTATTTTAAGATAAGAATTGAAGCAATTAATTTACTTTCTTGTTATCAGCACTATCAGTCTTTACACTTAGCTTTATATTACGAATAAGAAACAATTGAGATTAAATGCTAACACTTAGTTTTGAATTACTGATAAGAAACAATTAAGATTAAATGCTAACACTTAGTTTTAAATCACTGATAAGAAACAATTAAGATTAAATGTTCGAATTCACTTTGTCGTCGCTAACAGGTTCTCTATATTCACCAATTCACCATACGAAACACACAACAGTATTGCAGGTGTTATTTTACGCTGGTATTCTGTGAGAGAGTGGTCTTTCCCGGTCGCGCCGACACATTCGTGCTACAAATATAATATAGCTGCAGCTTGGCTCTACCACGTATAATGTAGATACTGTAATAATGCATGTTATAAGAGTCAATAAAAATAGAGATGCATCTCTCGCTATTACAAATGCACTAAATGCATTTAGATTAGATTTATTGTGAAACATAATTCAAAATGAAAAAATATCCAGTACGATTTTTCGAAAATTTTGCGAACCGCAAACTTAGTGAATGCTATTAGTAAAGGAATACTAGCAATATTACATATTTATCACCATCATCATCATTACAGCCCTTGACAAGTCCACTGCTGAACATGAGCCTTTGCCAAGAAATATCATAATGCAAGGTCCTGACTCCTGAGCCACCTGCATCCATCGACTTCCTGCATGTCTTAGCAACCCGTCACTCCATCTAGTGGGAAATGCCTACACTTAGTGTAACGGTACGAGGCTGCCGTATTACATGCCGCTCAAACTCCTAGCGGTCTCATGATTGCGCCGAGATATTCCGTCAAATCCCTAGCGGTCGCATGAGACCGCTCACACCCACAGCACTTTATTCCATAAATACTTATGTTTAGAGACTACTTTTCTATGAAGAAGTTTGGCTATATAGAATCAATATGAAATTTTCTACCCTCTAGTGGAATAAAAAGTTAATTAATCTATGGATATTTACTTATAATCTACGTTAATTTCGTACGCCATTTTCGTGTGAATATTATTGTGTGGATTTTTCTAGTGTTTTAGTATAGTGTTTTATTATAAAATTGTAATGAAAGTTTTTGTGTGAATATAACTTATCTTTTTACTTAAATAATTTCGAGTAATATATAGAAATAATTGTGATTTTCACGCTGCTGACATCCGCTTGGTGTATTTTTTTTAATCAAAATACAATAAAATCTTTTTGTAATGAAGTAAAACCTGACTTTTGTTTAGACTATAGGATAGAGAATTTTGTATAGATTTTATAATGCCAAACTTCTTCGTAGAAAAGTAGTCTCTCAATATAAGTTTTAATGGTTTAAAGTGCTGTGGGCTGTGGGTGAGTGCGGTCGAATGCGACCGCTCGGTATTTGACGGACGCATGCGACTGCATGGTATTTTTACGTGGATTGAAGGGTTATATAATAATAATGTTCTCACACACTCTCTATCCTTTCACACTCATAGTCCAATGGAACGATAATCCGACACGACCAGAGAGAGATCAGGCGAAGGACCTACGGCTTTACATGTTTTTCTAGGCAACGGGGGTGAAAATACCGCCACCTACCTGACTCTAGGCACGTGAGTAGATAAACGGAACAGAGACAAAAATTCTTCAGAACGTGCAAAATTGTTTACCTATTTTGGTAGGGTTGTCACAATAGATGAAGACAAATTAAACAAAACATTTATTAAATAGTTTTATTGTTCAGTATGATAGAATAGAATTATTTTTTACAATGCTATTTTCTTCTCATAAACCAGTTGTCATATTATTTTAGGGTAACATTACATAAATTATTTATAAAAGATAATAATTTAAAATTGTATAACAAGCTTGTATAAAAATCTACCCATGGCGTTAGTTATACAACCAATCCTCTATAACCAAAGCTACACCTCTTTCTCCTACCATAATGGAGGGGGCATTGGTATTGCCCCGAGGTACGTTTGGCATTATCGACGAATCTATTACTCGAAGTCCAGACACCCCATAAACTCTTAATCTGGGGTCCACTACAGCCTTCTTGTCCCACTTCGGCCCCATTTTGCAGGAGCCTACTGGGTGGTATGGCGAAGATGTGTATTTTCTAGCCAAGCATACTATGTACTCATCGGTACCCCATGCGTGATCCCTACACGCTGGTAATTGAATTCTTAGGAAACGAGCCCCGTTTGCTTTGAAAGCTTGCGTTTCTTCTAAAGACAAAAGGAACCTTACGCCTTTGATCAGAGGAATCAAATCCGTTTCATCATCGAAGTAGTTAGCATACAGTAATGGGGGACCGTTGGGATCAGTTGTATTGAGACAGAGTTTGCCTCTGCTTCTCGGGACTAAATTCATTGTCCTCGGTTCCAAGCCATCGTAGAAACTCGTTGGGAAAATTGTAGTCCTATCGTAGTCTGTCGGTTCTTTAATGTATTCTCTCCATTTGACGTTGTTAACTTGATACTGAACGTCAGGCGCTGGTAAATAAGGTTCGGTCTTGATAAATGCCACAGAACTAACAGGTCCATTTCCAGAAAGTGGACCATCTTTGATTTCTTTTTTGGCATAATCTATAACTTCCCTCAGTACTTCATTGTTTTCTCGTGTCGTAGCAGTTCTGTTTGGTAAAGCTATTATTATACCGTTGAAAGTTACATGATCGTGCAGGTTCTCACCAACAGCTAAGTCCTTTACGACATGAATACCCAATTTCTCCAGTTGGTCCTTTGGACCTATGCCGGATAACATAAGCAATTTTGGTGCATTTATCGGACCTCCACTCACTATAACCTCTTTTTTCGCTATCGCTGTATAAATTAGATTATTCTTAACATATTTAACGCCATACGCTCTATTGTACTTATCTATAAGTATCTTTACAGCCTCTGAATTAGTTTTAACTGTCAAATTCTTTCTCTTATATCTAATGGGATGGATGAAAGCAGTGTTGGTTGAAACTCTTTGTCCATCTAAAGATATTGCTTGGGCCTGCATAGCTCCGACTTGATAAGCTCCGTTGTAATCATTGAGGGGTAATCCTCTCTCGTTGAAAGCTTCTGTCATCATAATCGATGGTTTGTCAATGTATGGGTAACGCGAAACATACTGCTCGCCTTCCACTCCATGATATTTACGATCAAGTCCTTCAATATTAAGGTTTCTCTCCGATTTCTTAAAATATGGTAGAACCTGAACAAATGGAAAGAAATATTTTAAAATTTATATATTTATATGTAAATATTCTTATGTTTTTTTGGAATAACTGTAGAATGGCAAGCGCACTTGCGGACTAGTTGATATTAAGCTGTCACTGCAGCATATCCTTTATAAAAATAAAGCTAAAAGTGATGAGGCTAATCAATGTACTAGGTAGATCAATACGTTTTTGGAAAGTGGAAACGCAATGAAACTCTAGCATAAGAATATGTAAATTGTATTTGTTTTGCAACGTAATCACCTTTGAAGCTAATACACATTGAACAACGTGTTGCAAGTTGGTTGATTCCCTTGGAAAAAAAACTTGATTCTGGGACACGAAAAAGGCCTATACAGCACACATTACCTCATTATCGCCGCCGAATTTTATACCACGCTTGTGCTTTTTAGGTGAGTAAAAAGGTGAAAATCACTAGGAGCTTGGACCAGAAGATACGTTGGATGCTGCTTCAACTGAACCCAGGATTCGGATTGCAGCGCCTGCAACGTCTGATCAACAGGCAGGGCATTATAATGATGAAAAGCACTACGGCTCGCAATTTTTCTCTACGTGTATTCTTTAGTTCTTCGCGTAGTTTTTTCATTAATGATGCGTAATAACCTTCGGTTATTGTGGTAGAGCCACGCGGCAGCTTCTGCCGTTGCCCGGATGGGCCTGTGGCCGTGGTAGGGAAAGGGGAGATCTCCCGCCGGGCAAGGTGTTCTACCCGGAGAGCGGCCAACACTCCGTGTGATAGTTCGGAGATTTTCTATATATACTGTTTATGATTCGGAATTTTGATAGCGTGATTTAGGCTTCGGTGTGTTTCGCTTGCGGCGCGACGACAGCGTAGCCACAGGCCGGCTCTTTCAACTCCTTGTTCTCGAAAATAATGGAGTCCATTATTAACTGCCAGCTCATGAGGTACTCTGAGGAGCACCAGTTGATTAGTGACCACCAGACCGCTTCCCTAGAAATTATGCAATTGGACCAGCAGTTTTCTCGAAGTTCGTAGTTAACGGTGCATATTCCAACAACAAACCTGTGAATGCTAGTGTTCCATAAGGCTGCGTGCTATCGCCCACCTTGTTACTTCTGCATATCAACGATATGTTACAAACCATATTATTAATTGTTATGCAGATGACAGAATAAAATAGAATAGAATATTTTTTATTCAATATAGATCACACGTAATTCTTATTGAAAGTCATTTTTTACTTTACCACTGGTTCGGAAAATACCTAGGCAAAAGGGCAAAACCCTGGAAAGAACCAGCAAGAAACCCAGCTGGATTTTTTTTTAAAAATAAATTTTACAATGTAAATGGTTACAAAATATTTACAAAATTTATTTTAGAAACAGCTTGAAAGCGACCACCTCCTTCCCAGGGGTTATTAGTAACCATGCATTCATTTATATTATAATAAAACTTTTTATACACTTTTTGTTTAATTAAATATTTAAACTTGGTAATAAAGAGACCTTGTACATTTTCTGGGACTTTGTTGTTATAGCGTATACATTGCATCAAGAGTAAATTACTCAGTAATTAATAATAATAAATAAATTAACATGTCGGTAATTATTACTGACTGTGTAGTCGAGAAATTGGCCGAAAATTTCGGGAATCAAGGAAGTGACACATTACTATTTAAAAATGTATTTATTGCTTTTCGAAGTATTCTCCTCGAAATGTGACACATTTTTCCATACGATGGAACCAATCATTGAAGCAACCATTCCATTCGGAAGTTGGGGTCTTCAAAATGGCCGTTTTGTAGGCGTCCACAGCTTCTTCAGGTGATGAAAATCTCTGTCCACGCAATTTATTCTTTATTTTAGGGAAAGTATAGAAATCATTAGGGCTTAGGTCGGGGCTGTACGGCGGATGGTCTAATAATTCTATGTTTTTTTGCTCTAAAAACTCTTTTGTTCTGTGTGCGGTGTGAGAACTCGCATTGTCGTGATGGAGGATGATGCGGCGGTTGCAGTTCTCTTTACGGAGTTCAGAAACGACCTGTGGCAAATAAATAGCATAATTCGATACCGTTTGTCTGAGGAATAGTCGTAATACGGCCGGTTTTGGAGACAAACGTGGCCACCATTTTTTTTTGCAACACTCCGTGAACGAACAATTTTTGTTGGCTTTAATTCATTTTCGAACCCCCGAACTCGTGACTGGTTTTTTGTTTCGGGTTCGTACGCGTATATCCAGGATTCGTCACCTGATAAAATGTTGTATACAGCATTTGAGGATCCTGCGTGGAATCTTTCGAGAGTTCTGTCGCACCAAGTAACGCGAGCCGCTTTTTGCTCTTCACAAAGCGAATGCGGTATCCATCGGGAAAACAACTTTTTTACACCTAATTGTTCATGCAAGATTATTTGTATTTGACTCATGCCAATGTCTAAAGTTGCCTGAATTTCGCGGTATGTCACATGTCGATCTTCCTACGCACAGCATGAACGTTTTCTTGGGTGACTGCAGTTTTTGGACGACCTTGACGGGGATCATCACTGAGGTTGACACGTCTACGTCGAAATTCAGCAAAGCAGCGATAAATTGTGGTTTTGGATGGGGCTTCATCACCAAATGCAGAAATCATCCGGTCAACACACTGTTTTTGTGTTAAACCACTTCGAAAGTCATAATAAATCATCGCTCTTGAATTTTCTCGATTCAATTCCATTTTCTCAACGACTAAACAAGTTTGACAAAACCTTGTGACAAGACCGAGAATCTTTTTTTAAATAAATAAATGGTATTCGATTTTTAAAACCAAGTTTTTTGAGTTTTCAATTAAAAAGATTTTAATATGACAGGAACAGTGGAAATATTCCATTCCCGATACTTTTAGTGCAGCCTATGTATCACTAGTTTGTGTTTGTTCCTAGTGTTTACAGAGTTTTTATCACTTTTTTCCTAAAACTACCTTTGTTTTCTGAACATACATTAAATTTTCGTAAATGTAGTGTAAGGCTTTATTTCTTTAAATTTTTCTATAACATAATCTCTCGGTTTTAGTTTGTAAATAGCTTTTATATCCTTCTTCTGCAAAACAAAAATAGTTTACAATACCATTTATCAAAGTTTGCCAAAATCCATCTTTCAGCACCTTACAGCAGCAGGCAGCAGCGAAAGACTTTTTTCTGAAGCTGGCTTGTTTATGAAGACAGGCGAAACCACTTGTTACTTTTCAATGCAGAGAAATTAGTATTTATTCACCATAATCTGCCCTTAGCTACGTAGTACTATTATTTATTCTGTGTCTTCGCGCAATACGTTTTTGACATAAATGAAGTATTTAACTAAATTTGATATTTTGTGTTTTTTTTTAAATCCGCTATCCGGCTGGATTGTGTTTGTTATCCGGTATCCGGCCGGATAGTAATTTCAGGCCGGATAGGCCAAATCCGTTTCATCTCTAATTATTATACTTTCCCCATCCCAGAAGGCAGAGGCCATTATTTTTGCAGCGCACGCAGACACCTTGAGTCACTTGGCTTGGCAAAAACCGACTTTAAATAGCTAAAAATGAAATTATTTATTTGCAACTCTGAGGGATGGAACTTTTTATCCAAATTTATATGGAACCACTCTTGAAGTATGTGTAACCTATTTTATAAAAAAAAATTATCATCAAAATCAGTCCACATTCCATCTTAGACCCCAGGGGTGACAACGCATTTGCATTTTGATTCTTAACCGAATGTAGATGTCTATGGGCCACAGCATCCACTTACCATCAGGTGGACTGTGTGCTCGTTTGTCACCGTTATCTTATAAAAAAAATATTGCGTAATATACATACAAAAAAACCATACACTCGAATTGAGAACCGGTATTTGAAGTCGGTTAAAAATAGAACGCATTTCTATATACTCGTATATCTCATTGAAGAAGTGTCTTATTCCTAAAACTTATTGATCTAGTATTATGTCTGCATCACTCATACACATCACATCGCGACCAAAAAGGGACAGCAGGTTGCAGGTTTTATATCTGACCACGAAGCATTTCATCTTAGCTTTGAAGGTTGTAAGACATCTGAATTTTCATTCTTAATAGACGATTGAAGTGTGGGCCACAGCATCCACTTACTTTAATCGGTGGACTGTGTGCTCTTTTGTTTCCTATACTTGTAATAAGATAACATCAATAAATTATGAATTAAAGTCATAATCTTTATACTCACATCTCTGTAACTCCACCCTACGTTGCCCATGGCTGCCCAGGTGTCGTAGTCTAATTTGTTTCCTCTAACATAAGCTAAGGAATTGATTGAGCTGGTGCCGCCCATCATCTTGCCTCTGTAACAGATTTCATACAAATTAGTAATAATAGTAGTGGGAATTTTATAAATTTAAAAACCTATTTTTTTTTGTGATTTCGATAAACACTTGTACACACTCTACTGCTTGTCCTTTTTTATGGTTTGGATAAAAACTTGTACACACTCTACTACTTGTCCTTTTTTATGATTTGGATAAACACTTGTACACACTCTACTACTTGTCCTTTTTTGTGATTTGGATAAACACTTGTACACACTCTACTACTTGTCTCTTTTTACAGAAACAAAAACGTTTTTATTTAATATAGAATATTATAAATAATACATAATGAAAGTCACTCTTGTGTTTTATCAGTGTTTCAGAAAATATCTCTGTTCTGAGAAGAACCAGCAAGAAACCCAGCGGGTCTTCTTATTTGAAAAAAGAAAAACAGTTTACAATCATATAGTTATATTACACAATTAACAACACAAAACGAATTAGAAATAGCTTGGTGGCGATAACCTCATTCCTAGCCTATGTGTATATTCATAATGTGTACAAATAAATAAATTTGAAATGTCTGTTTGTAATGTAAAATAACAGCATTTTAGTAAATGCATATTAAAGTCTATGTGGTACTTTTGAAAAAAAAAACAGTCTGTTCAGGCTAATCTTCGAGACGGCTGGAGTGATTTTGACGGTACTTTCACTGGCAGATAGCTGATCATAAGGAGTAACTTAGACTAGTTTTATTTTATGAAAAGAATTAGGTTAATTCATCGTTATAAATTCCACGCGGACGAAGTCGCGGAGAACAGCGAGTTTAAAACTATAATTATATTAATATTGTGAAACTATTACCAGTGTTTATCCAAATCTCAAATATTAAGCTGGAGTTTCACCATGGGACAAAAATCGCAATTCGCAACTATAAATTATTAAAAATCTCCATTGCAGTCAAATACGAGAAATAGCTCGAGGCTTCTAACAGAAGGCGGTATTACCATTGTCTTTACGTCAAACAAAATTTATTCAGATCAGTGCTGGAGTTAGCCACGTCGATGCTGAGATCTGAGAAAGAATGCCTCGTTTCCAGTAAAAATGGTCTCTGGTTGTATACACTCACCATCCGAAACACAGCAGCATTAAACCGCTATTTTACCTTATTTTATTTTTATTTTATTTTTTGAGAGCGTGTCCTTTCGCAACTTAACACAGCATTATGTTACCTTACGCTCAAGGTATTTAAAGTCAACTGGTATCCATGCAGGTGTAGTTCTACTCTACGAACTGACCCATTCGTGCTTTAGTCATAATAAACTTTAGAGTGAATCTTATTAGTACAGGCTACAAGACTAGCAATATTATATATTATATAACAAGGTACATGAGAGTAATATGGTCACATTAAGCTTTGCCAGCTTTTTGAAACCAAAATTCGGAGGGGGAAAAAAAGTCGTTTACTATAACTAATATATTAAGAAAAAAATGGCAAACAAGCGTTGGCAATAATTACGAGCACTTCGAAAAATCAACTTAAAAAATCTAACTACACTAACTCACTACTAAAATTGATTGAAATATTTACAATAATGTCAACTGTCAAAATGGCGTCGATAAAGCATGAAGATCTATCGTATCACAGAGTCATCTATGCAAACAAGGCTATAGTTTTTGAGTTATAAGAAAGTGACCATATTATCGGATGACCATATTACCCTCACGTACTATAATAATGTTCTCCAGACGGAATTTCGGTCATGGCGGCCTTTCTCAATTTAGACTAGCCATTTGCGCAGGATAGGACTATAGTGCCCGGGTGTATTCACAAGCACAGGTGGTGCACTCTCTATTCCCTCACTCTCATAGTCCGATGAGACGATAATCCAACACGATTAAAGAGATCATACGCAGGACTAACAACATTATATGCTTTCCGACGCACGGGGGTAAAACACAGGCCAGTTTCTCAAATTTCAAGTATACCCGGCAAGTATATCACAGCAGGTCTGCCCCGGCTTCACACGTGTGACTTCTGTATATCGACAACAGCGCCACCTACCGTGTCCAATGTGAATCTAAACCATTCTCGTATCAACTTAATCACATATACAAAGTTTCATTAAAACCGGTCCGGCCGTTTAGAAGAAATTCAGCCACATACCATGCAAGAAGAATTATGTATATAAAGATATATCAATATATTTATACATGATATATGCGTGATCTTTTTTACCGTCTGGAAAAAATTGGATGTAACGGGTGAATGGAATAGAAGCCTATGGCAATGATATTTTACAATTTTTGTTTTTATTTTACATTAACATATTATGGAATTGATTTATCAATAAATACTACTAATTTGAAATAAACTTTCGCTACTAAAAATAACAACAAAACTTTTAAACTAAAGATATATCAGAAAACTATCGAAATTAAAATAATATTAATTTTAAATTAATTAAATACGTACCCAATTATAATAATTTATTAAACTGTAACTTGTAGTATATACAGAAAAAAAAACTTACATGAGATAGCAAAAAAATTAGGTGAAAACACTAGTATAAAGTAGTGTTATAGTATAGGATAGTAGTGTTAGTTATTATGATATATAAATATCTCTTGTTTTATATATAGCTCGCCAAAACATGTGTGCCAGTTACCTTGGCCAAGCGCATCGTCCTTCTCGTGAGGCCAAACAACTCTTGCCATCCGGTTCTGTCGAGTATGCCCAGTCCACGTTCGACCCAAGCAAAACAGTCGACAGGCCCGGCACCATGGTTATGTCAGGTTCTTCTTGTCCAGCTTCTAGCAAAAGCACCTGAAGAGTTGATTAAAAAATTATTAATAACTACCTTATTTCCCCTGCATGGCACAGGTGCAATTTACTTATGAGGTTTTAAATTACATAATATAATATATATGGGGAGGAGCTGAGTTTTGTTGATTCCACCATTATTCTTGGAATCACACTAAACGCAAAGCTTCAATGGCTCCCCCGTATATCAATATCAAAACTAACTAGCAGACTTAGTTCTGCAGCATATGCTGTAAAAAAGATTAGGAACTCTTACCAGTGTTGAAACAGCTAGAATAGATTACTTTAGCTATTTCCATAGCATAATGTTGTAAGGTATTTTGCTATGGAGACACGCGACTGACACTATATTTGACGCGATTGATATTACATTTGTTTTATAAAAAGGGACCATTAGAGCAATTTAAAACCAAAAGAGTCGCTCAGATAAAAATTTAAGGAAATTAATGTATTAACTAAAAATAAAAGTAGTTTTGCAAAAATAAGTGATATTCATTCTGTAAATACTAGTAACAAATACAAGCTAGTAGTACCAGTTACTCGACACCATCGAGTCAGTAGTTCATTCTTGAGGCGATGTATACACTTTTACAACAAAATTCTAGAAAATATACAAAATTTGACTTATACAAAGTTCAAAGACTATTAAACTAAGTTTGTATTTAAAGGTTTATTATAATATTAAGGAATTTATGGATGGTAATAACCCCTGGGAACCAAGCTATTTCTAATTTGCTTTGTGTTGTTAATTGTAACGTACATGATTGTAAGCTATTATTTGGAAAAAAAAAATAATCCCACTGGGTTTCTTGCTGATTCTTCCTAGGCAGAGGTGTTTTTTGCAAACCAGTGGTAAATGAAAAAAGCGACTTTCAATAAATATTGTTTGCAATCTATATTGAATACAAAACTTTTCTGTTTCTGTTTTATCAATGTATGTTAACTTTTACCACTTCCATACAACAAACATGTCCCATTCTCTTACAACAAGTGCAGTTATGATTTAACAAATTTGAAAATAAGTTCGAATAATTGGTATAAAATTCTTAGTGGTGGTAACTTTAAAGATGCGGTAAATACTTTTTTTTAACATGATATATAAAATTCGTGATAAATGTTTCCAAGTAATATAAACGCAATAAAATATATCCACCATGGTTTAACAGTGCATATATAAAATAAATTAAAGAAAAAATGAGTATCATAAAAAGTTTATGATAATTTAAGTGATAAAAATTAATACATTTATCATTTTAAGCGAAAGAGAATAGAAAATAATCTATATGGCAAGTAGGTAACATTAGTAACGTTAAAGATATTGTTTTAGTCCTATATCAGAAATAAAAAGAATAATAATAATAATAATAACCACGAAACGGTGCCGGGCTTGGGCGTCTCCCGTTATTTGACGCCCATAAAATGGATGATGGAAGAAACACAGAAAGGAACGCGCATAGGGCCGCTGCCTGGGGGTTGCCTTGGAGCTGGCGCTGGACGCGGCAGCATGCGGGCCGCCAGCCGAGCGCGAGGAGCTGCACGATCACCTAGCAGCCCCTCGCATCCATCATCCCCACCAGAAGGCTTGGTGTCAGCTGGGTCTTCTCGGACCCAGCAAGCGGCACCCGCCGCTGGTGGAGCACGTCGCATGCGTTGGACAAAATCCATGAACGAAAACGCATTGCGGCATACTATAGGGCGAAAGGGGAAGAAACTGTGGGAATAGCGTATAGGTCTCGGATGCATTGCTTTTTTGCTGAGCTGGAGCCGTCTATCCCCGTCACGGAACAAAACCTGGCAGACCGAGTTCGGTACATCATGCGCTCGAAAATATTTGATGATGCCGAACTCGAACGACAACGACGTGAGGCTATTCCGTCGTCGAATGAATCGGCTATGGCTGGAGATGCAGCTCCACATTCGACAGACCAGCATCCACACGTGGAAGCCGCCATGGATCTTCCAGTTGTGGTTGATTCGAACGACGATGAAATAGTCTCCCACGAACTAGAGCAAATGAGGAGTATATTGGAAGAGGCGATTTTGGAAACGCGCAGCACCCCTTTCGAGAATCGACCGCGACTTCCCCGCATACCCCTAAGCAAACGAAATCGGGCTGTCGTGAGGGCTCTTAACCCAATGCTGGTGACCTATTTGGAACCAGCCGGGACCTTTGCGAGACGGACTCGATTCTCTTTGGCGCCGCAGTGGCAGTTTGCCGTATTATTGGCGCCAAACTTCCCATGCCTGGACGCGCTACTACACAAAGTAGCGCCATCCCAGCCTGGAGAAAAAAGAATCGAGGACCGTATCGCAAAGGCAAGGGCCCTTATCGGCAGACTGACAAACTTCAGGTCGGGTAATAATAGACCAAGGATTATGCGCACCGTTAGGATGGCGTTTGCTGGGACAAATATCAGTTTGTCCCAGCCGGATATCACGCAGAAACTAACGGAGCGCATAGACGACCTGAAGCAAAAGATCGCTGCTTGGGGGAAGCGGATTCGACGATTTTCCGAGAGGTCAAGGTGGTTCAACCAGAATCGTCTCTTCCAGAGTGATCAGAAGAGGCTCTATAAATCATTGGAGCAACCAAAGGTATGTGGAGCGGGCCAAGGACCGGATCCACAGCGAGGGCCCTTGGATGGAAGTTGTGGCGAGCCAGGGTGCGAGTGTTACGCCTATGGACCCCATCACCATAACGCCAGAATACGTGGCTGAGGCGGTCCGTGGGGCCCCGAACTGGAAAAGTCCGGGGCTCGACGGGCTGCATCATTACTGGCTGAAGGAGTTCATAGTGTGTGACAGTTTCAAGAGGCTCTCGACCAGAAGTCACTCCCGAGCCTCTTCACTACTGGGATCACTCACTTGGTTCCTAAAGATCAGGATACCACAGACCCGAGCAAATACCGCCCCATCACGTGTCTACCCACCATATATAAGACACTGACATCCATTTTGAGCGCGAGAATCACTCGTCACCTGGAGCTGAACCAGGTGATGTCACGCGCTCAAAATGGATGTCGGGGCGGTGGTCGTGGAACTAAGGAACCACTCCTCATTGACGCGGTCATAGGCAAAGTGGTGAAACGCAACCGTCGGAACTTCTCTGCCACCTGGATAGACTACAGAAAGGCGTTCGACTCGGTGCCCCATACATGGCTAAAGAGGGTCCTCGAGCTGTACAAGATTGACTGTACAGTTAGAGACTTCCTCGAGTAGTGTATGGGGCAGTGGAGTACGATCCTTTGTCATCTGGGCGAGCGGATGACGGCTGCGGAGAACCACATAAGGATAAGAAGGGGTATCTTCCAGGGCGATTGTCTGAGTCCAATCTGGTTCTGCCTCTCTCTTAACCCTCTCAGTACCTTACTGGAGGGCTCCGGGAGGGGATTTCAGCTACGGAAAGGAGGGACAAAAGTGACCCACCTTTTCTATATGGATGACCTCAAGTTATTCGCCTCCAGTCGCTCCCATCTTATGGAACTGCTAAACATCACTTGTGAATTTAGCAGTTCCATTGGAATGGAGCTGGGGACGGATAAATGTGCGGTCCTCCATGTTGAAAGGGGAAGGGTTGCTAACTCTGAGAGCATAGATTTGTCTATGCCCGTCAAGTTAAGGACCCTTTCCGAAGCTGAAACATACCGATACCTGGGTATGTCACAGAACATCGGTATCGATGAGGCTGGTATGAAACAGTCAGTTTGCGACGTGTTTTATGCACGCTTGACCAAAGTGCTTAACAGCCTTTTGTCCGGTGTGAATAAGTCACACGCATATAACTGCTGGGTCATGCCTGTCCTCATGTATACCTTTGGCATACTCAGGTGGACTCAGACTGCGCTTAACGCCCTGGATAGGAAAGTCCGCACTACCATGACGTCCCATAGGATGCATCATCCGAGATCGTCGGTAATGAGGCTGTACTTGCCGCGAAAGTATGGTGGGCGTGGCTTTCTGAGCGCGCTCACCATGCATAATCGCGAAGTGTGCAGTCTCCGTCAATACTTCTTGGCGAGATCGGATGATCTATTCTATAATGACGTCATTTCTAGTGATAAAGGGCTTACCCCTCTATCCTTAGCCAACGAGCAATGGCAGTACCCAGCAGTGCCTAGCATTTCCGACCGGGAGACCGTATGGAAGGAGAAAGAGCTCCACGGGAGGTACTACAGGGCTCTACAAGAGCCCTTCGTAGATACAGTCGCCTCCCTCAACTGGCTACGTTTCGGTGACCTCTTCGGGGAAACCGAGGGTTTTGTCTGTGCAATACAGGATTAGGTTATTAAGACCAACAACTATCGGAGATACATCCTAAAGGATGGCACCGTCGACGTCTGTCGAGCTTGTTGCCATCCCGGGGAGTCACTCAGGCATGTCATATCCGGTTGTTCGGCGCTTTCTAACTCTGAGTACTTGCACAGGCACAACCTAGTAGCCAGAATTCTACACCAGGAGCTCGCTCTGAAATACGGTCTCGTGGACCGGAAATTGCCGTATTAAAAGTACTTGCCGGAAGCCGTGCTCGAAAATGACCGCGCCAGGCTAACAGGCAAACAATCAAAATATCTGGACCTGGCTCACGAGGTGACCGACATGTGGGGTGGTCTGCCGACCGAAATTATTCCTGTAGTCGTCTCTGCGAATGGGCTAATCCCAGTTAGCCTCTCTGGTCATCTGAGGCGACTGGGACTCCGTGACGGACCGCTCCGGGCTCAAATGCAGAAGGCGGTGCTCCTCGATACTGCCCGCATCGTCCGCCGGTTTCTTTCCCTTTCCCCCTAAACCTCGGCCGTTTGATCTCCCCTGCCGAGGGCTCCCATCTGGTTGGGCTTTTATTTATTTATGTATTTTCGTATTTATTTTATTTTATTGATATTTATGTATATTTATCTTTTCATATTCGTTTATAATTATATATTTATACATCCCAACCAGATGAGAAAACTATATAGATACCCACACATAATAATAATATATAATATTATATTTAAGTACATTTATTTTTCCCTTTATATATTTATCCAGCCCAACCAGATGTGATTACTCTATTAATAACCCAAAATAATAATAATACACTTTATTTCAGACAAGAGTCCATAAATTGGTTAGTACGAGTAACATAACATTATTATAGAATCGTTGTTAGTTAAATTTCTTAAAAATCTAAGAAAAGAAAAAAATCATACATTTTAACAACAATATCAATAATTACTAAAACTTACTTATATAAAAAATACATTTTATTATATTACTACATTTTAATTCTTTTGCATGTGAATGCGGATCCAGTGTCTTAAAAGCGGAGAGTCCCACTTATCGGCCAAGGCGTTTAAGATGCTATTACAAGAGTCTCTAATACGAAAAAGAAGCGAGGCGCATCTCTTTCGCACTATAGCATAAAAGTCATCGATACGTGCCTCCGCGAACATAGTAGATGCACTACGGTGACGAGCTAGTCCCATCAAATACTATACTTCATACTATCACTACTTCATATAATACTTCATATCCTTCGTGTACGACATAATCCGATATATTCTCTGATTCATGAGAAAATATTAGTAGTCTTTTTGTTCAATATTTTAATTCTAACTTCCTTCAATCTAGTAACTCAACAGTAAACTGAAATAATGTTAATGATACCTATTCAATCGAAATAATATTTTATGTCTTAAAAAGGTCGCTGAAATCACTTGATTTAAGCAAATCAGCTGGTCCTGACGAACTTCCGGCCTTTTGCCTAAGTGTGCTGAAACTATATCTATACCTTTTTCAAATATTTTCAAAAGATCCATTTCTGAGGGTTCAATGCCTGCCAGGTGGTAATCCGCCATCTTATCTATCCGGCCTCTCCCATTCATAAAAAAGGTGCTAAAAATTAAATTGCAAACTATTGTCCGATCTCAAAATTAAGTCTCTTCGCCAAAGTGTTTGAAGGAATATATGGTACATGGCGACACTAGTTATCACTAGCGCCTTCCAGCATCGAGTAGCAGAACTAGGAGAGCCAAGATCCTTCTATAACTTTCCTTGGAAGAACTTTCTAGAACTATCGACACCTAGTTAGTCGGGACCGATATGTACTCGATCATTCTATTATTTTCATTATAGAAGAAGAATAACATTCACCATAGAGTTTTGTTATTAGTATGATTTTAAGTTGTAATTAGTGTACTGTAATTTAAGAGTCAATTTTGGTAATTAACGCGGCAGTTTTTAGTGCCTCGAATCCCAAGCCTGTAACACTATTTTCACGGACTACAAGCAAATCATTCGATCGCATAGACCCTTGCAAAAATTTAGATAGTTTACATCTTATATTTAACAAACAGATCACAAGTGGTAATTTTAAACGGATTTACATGTTGCTGTACGAGTGTCCCTTCTGGCGTTCAAGTTTCGCTACTTGGCCCTCTGCTCTTCGTAATATTTATCAACAGTATTGCTGAATGCTTCCCGAATTCGGAGTTTTTGCTATTCGCCGATGACATGAAAGTTTTTAGAGTAGTTAACAATTCTTCAGATTCTAATCTTTCACAAAACGATCTTGTTGAATTAGATAATCATTGTATCCGTAACAAATTAGATTTTAATGTTTCTAAGTATAATACTATATCTTTCTGGCGGAAACGCGATATACTAAATTTTTCATATAGTCGTGACTCCATCTAATGGGGCGTCGCCCTACACTTCGGTCACCGGCACGAGTCTGCCACTCGAGAACTTTTTTCCTCATTGCTTGTCGGTTTTTTGAGCTATAACCATAAAGGCCTTGACCACACCGCCACCTAGCGGGTCCAGATTTTTGTTTTCCTTTGTGGCGCTATACCAATATGTATCGAAAATATGAGTCACGTTTTTTCCATAAATATGACCGTTACCGTTACCGTTACAGCATATTAAAGTCCACTGTTAAACATAGGCCTCCCCCATAGATTGCCTCATTGGGGAATATTTACTTGGCAAGCGGGTTGGCATATATATATGAAATTAGTTAATAATTATGATAATTAAGACATTTGTTGATAAATTGATTACAGTACCATCTATCGGATTCAATCATAGCCATAAAAATTTGTTACCACAAAACAAATTACAAGTATCTACTATATGAATATGAGCTTAACCAGTCAAGTCATTCAAAAGTTACACGATTACTAACTGGCGCACCAACGAATATGTATATATAAAGACTTTCTTAGGTTGGCACCATGGTTTTGCCACGTGGCGTGGGCACGAATGAGTTTCTCGACCGATGAAGGACCGCGCAGACTCACAGAATACCAACGTAAAATAGTAGCACAATGTTGCTGTGTTTCGTATTGTGAGTGTAGAGAACCGGAGACCCTTTTTACTGGAAACGAGGCATTCTATCTTAGTCCTCAGGGGTGACAAGGCATCTGAAATTTGATTATGTACTCGTTTATCGCTATTACTTTTATCTTAAAGTGAAGTAGAATGACTTGTTACGGCTTTTAAAAAGGATCTATTGGTGCTACTATTTTGGTATTCTGCGTTCTGTTCACGTTGAACGTACAGTAGATGTAAGTATATCCACTGTTCATGTCATTATGTGGCTGTTTTAAGAGGCGACAGAGGGAAATTGAAACAGTGTGTGGCGGCGCTGTCGTCGCGGTACAAGCGAAACACGTCGATGCCTAAATCGCACTATCAAAGTTCCGAAGTCAACAGTATACAACACGTAACATAATTAATGCACTTTGAGAAAGTAGTTTGTTCAGAAACGTTTACCGAATCGATTCCTCATTTTTAATATAGGCAATTTTTTACTCCAAAAATAATTAAAACTATGTAAAAAACAGTCACACTAAATCTGTACAGTCAAAACAAACTGAAATGGACCCCAACTTAAGGCAATAAGACTTTTAAGAGTGCGGTTTTATTTGTATTATTACTAATTCTGTCATTGAGTAAAAATAAAGAAAAATGAACTTTATTTCTAGCATGTTAAAGTCTTTGCGTTCGTGGATTTGTACTGTGACTACAACATTCTTCCGGAATTATTTTTGGGGTGTGTGTGCGATGCGTTACATATTGTATATATTATGTAGAATAGTTTCGAATTATCACAAGAAGCGTTGGCCGCTTCCCGGGCAGAACACCTTGCCCGGGAGATCTCCTCTCTCTATCCACGACCAAAAGAGGGTGGATAGCTACACTTCATCTTACTAATAACTCTAAATAATAAAAAATTGCGTTGGCGACCCGCCTGCCATGCGTGGTATTTATGAGTTACTTACTTGACGCAAACTATGGGGGAAGCCTACGTTGAGCAGTAGACTTAAATAAACTGTAATACTTTTAGTAACTGATTGGATGCATACTGTGCGAACGTGTTCTTCCCCAGTTGAGCGGAGTTGTACGTAAATATAAAGTTAGTGGGAATTTTTAAGTCAAGATCTCTCCATCTCCACCAACTTCCTGCATCTCTAACCAGGTCGTCATAACATCTAGTGGAGGACCGCCCCACACTTCGCTTATCGATTCGAGGCTGCCACTTGAGAACCTTTGTTTTCTATCGGTTGTAAGTTCTTCGAGCTACATGGCCGGCCCATTGCCACTTCAGCTTATTGATCCGTTGGACTTCGTCGGCTACTATGGTTCTACTGCGGGGATCATCGTTAAGGATAATATCACGTAAAGGAGCTCCGAGCATTATACCTCTACATAGCTATCTGAACGACTTTAATATAAAAAAAAGACAGTCTTACCTTCCATTGCTTATGTTCAGAAAGTCGGTTGGCCACTACGCACCCAGCGGATCCAGCGCCAACAACGATAAAATCGTACTCTTCTGGGCTATGTTTTCTATTTTCGTAGCTTCCTATGCTCTCGACTATTCTATCCTCGTCTTCTATGCTTTCATGGTATCCCAACTTCTCTTGTATTCTTCTGTCACTGGAGCCGCTGAACAATTGAACCAGCAGGTGTAAGTACACATAGCCGAAGTGGGAGCAGGCGGAGAGGTGAGTGTGGACGGGGCACACCTCCGCTAAATTTAGAGGCCTCCAAACCATGTTAGGGCTGAAATAAGCACAAAGATAGTGTTACTTTAACTTCATTATCACTATCATCATTACAGCCCTTCACAAGCCCACAGCTGAACGTGGGCTGCCCTCAAAGAGCTCAACAAAGCATGGTGCTGTGCCAACTGCATCTATCCACGTTCTGCATATCTTAGCAGGTCATCACTCCATCTAGTGGGGTGCCGCCCTACACTTTGCTTACCGGTACGAAGTTAATACTCGATAATTCTTCTTCCCCATCAATATATTTGTTTAGCACTTTTTTATTTTCAAATGTTTGTAACAGATTCACATATTTAGTCCTTGCAGACATGCAAAATACTGGACAAAATTTATAAAATTGAAATTAACACATACACTTTAAGAATAGCGATTTAAAATGAAACAACATTATATCACAAATCGGAAGTGTCAATAATCATGGACGTCATTATTAAAATAATTTATCACGTATGTCACAATAAGAATTATTAATTTTATATGTGGTTGATTCGTCCTGCAGCAATGTCATAGTTATAGCGGGTATGGGTCGACTCGACAGGGGATGGAAAACGTTCTCACAGAATAGTAGTCTTCAGGGTTGACAACGTATCTGCATTTTGATCCTTGATCGAGTATAGATGTAGATATAATAACAAAATATTGGCTATAGCATCCACTTACCATCGGGTCGACTGTATGCTCGTTTGTCACGCTTATTCTTTAAAAAAATCACTCTTTCCTCATTCATTCTTTCTACATGACCAAACCACCGAAGCATTCCTCTAGTAGGAGGAGTAGGCAAAAACCGTGTGGAAACCTACATGTCTAAGGAATAGAACATTTCAGAGACATGTAAAGTTCACCAACAAGCACTGCAGCAGCGCTGCGGACAAATTAACCCATAACCTCTCCGACATAAGAAACTTGTGCACTCCATGTACGACACATGAGGCTGTAACTTTACATTACTATTTACTTTACAAATACGTTATGACAATAACAGATTAAAAATATAGTAAACAAACTCAAACTAGTTTAAAACATATAAAACTCGCAATCACACACAAACGCAAATATTCAATATTATTTAAGACTGATTTCCATTCGTCAAATAAAATTATTTGTAGAATACACTACAAACTGGCTGAATATTGTGAAACAATTGAAGTATGTACCTATTTTAGACATAGACATAGGTTTTATTAGCATCAATACACTCACAAAATATACATTTAGAAGTAAATAAGAACATAAAAACACACAAGGTACAAGATGGTAAACATAATTAAAAATAAGTCTCGGCAAGAGTGAGTGATGTGATGCCAAAAAGGATTCCGTCTCAGCATATGCTACCACACGTACTGCAGCAGCGCTGATTTTCAGCGGACCCCTGAATAGTATTTATTCGATATTGCGCCCGCGCTGTTATCGGTGCTAACATTCCATTTAAAAAAATAATGAATCAACCATTCACTCAAGGTATACATTTTTAAGAATAAATAATATAAGTGTAAAAAATACATATACATACACGTGCATATACACACTCGCACATAAAACATTAATAACATTAACTATCCATATATATTTGTTAAATGAAACTTATGAAATAACCTGCAATTACACGTGAAATCATGATTTTTGAAATGCTAAAAGGTGTTTTTTTTAGTTGAGCCTTAAATCCTTGAGGTTTAGTTTCCCGTAAAGGTGGTAGTAAATTATTCCAACATTTACTGGCCATGTAACGCCACACACACACACAACAACATTTAGTGGCAATTTTATTAGTATAACTGTATTTTTATACTGTACATATTTTACCCTTTGAATAATTTTTATCAGACGACTGAAAATTGGACCTTGAAACGTTTATTATTCGTTTAATTCAATTCAAATAACTACAATGTGCTATAGAGCAATAATTTACACGCACGCAAAATCTATATAAAATTTTTTAATTTTGTATTTATTAGTACCTTTATAAAATAAAACGGAACCAATAAAAACTAAATTGATAACTGAAAAATCCAGCATAGGCTTTCTTATAAATGCACCAGCGGACAAAAGCTTGGATGTATCTGAGTGTTTATGTTACACAAAATAAAATGAAAAAAAAAACATTAAAAATTTAAACAATTGAAGGGCGATCAGCTCTACATACCGATATTATATTTACAAAGCTAGGGTGTATGTTTCTTTATTTTATTATCACACAATTATCTAAATAAAACAATAAAAAAATTTAAACAACTGAAACGCGATCACCTCTACGCAACGATATTATATTTACTAAGGTTAATTACTGACAGTGTAATATATAGCGAGCTAGGTGCGTATTAGTCGAGGGAGGTCATAAGCATTGTAATATTTAAATAATCACCTCTATCCGCTTAATATTAAGTCATTTTGGATATACAATTGGAACTTTAATTGAAACACTTCAAAGTCATTTTTCATTTTATAACTATTCTAAACCAGTATCTTCCCTGATAGTAAGTGGTAATGCAGCCGAAAGTTTAGACTTAATTAAATCGAGATGCGCTGTTGTCCTAATGCTGTTTTTTTGGATTTTTTACATATGTTGATAACTTGACTACAGCATCATCTATCGGATTCGTACGTAGCAATGAACATTTGTTTTCACAAAACAAATTACTACATGAATATGACTTAAAATGAAAGCGCCAGGGTAGCCCGCCGAATTTAAATTTTCGAAATTTAATATTTACAGAATTATAATAATTATAATCATCAATACAGCCTCTAAGTTCGTATAAATCAATTGTACGGCTATTTCCAGAAAAACTCGTTCAAAGAACTGAACTTAGTAGTATTGGTGATTTTAATGATAATAATTCTGTAAACACATACTTGTTACGGTCGCGAATCATATTTTCTTAAACATACAATCTCACACTGAAAATTCGAATTTCGAGGGCCTACCCTGGCGTTTTAACCTTAAACCAGTCAAGTAGTTCAAAAGTTACACGATTATTAACTGGATCAACCAACGATTATGTATATATAAAGACTTTCCTAATTTAGTACCCACATGGTGTTCCCACGTGGTAGAGCCAAGCTGCAGCTATATTAAGGTTGCACCACGGATGGGTCTGCTCGACCGATGAAGGACCGCGCACTCACAGAATACTAGCGTAAAATAGTAGCTCAATGCTGGTGTTTGGTATGGTGAGTGTAGAGAACTGGCGATTCTTTTTTTCTAGTAATGAGGTGTTCCGTCTTAGTCCTCAGGGCTAACAACGCATGTCAATTTTTATTTTTAATCGTAGATAAATGAAATGAATGGTTATGAACGATAGCATACACTAGCCGTCGGGTGAATTGTGTGTTCGTTTATCACCCTTATACAAAAAAAAACCTTGAGGGTAGGAGCACGCTCTCAGAATGCCAGCACGAAATAGCTACTTAATGCTGCTGTGTTTCGTATGAGACCTTTTTTTACTGAAAACGAGCACACCTTTTGGCAAGGGCGGAGCAAGATCTAAATTTGGTGCGGGCAAGATGACTTTTGCAAAGCCCCTGGCGACGAATAAATATTTTCAAATAGTTGCATTTCATCCTGTTACAACTTGTCACAAGTCCACTGAACATAGGCGACTATCACGGTCTTAAGTCATCCAAATATATAAACTTCGTGCATATTTACCTGGTCGTTTGACCTCCATTTAGTGGGGGATTACCTCGCTCTGCTTACCAGGAGGCTGGCAATCAGGACCCTTTCTTCTCCATAAATTGCCGATTCTTCGAGCTATGGCCGGCACATGGGACAATGTCGGTAGCCTTTATTGTATTTCGGATATCTACGATACGGATTCTGTTACGCAAAGTAACTCCGAGCACAGCCAGCACATAGCTTGTAGAATGACTTAAAGTTTTCACATGCGTCCAAAACTAAAGGACCATGTGTCGGTTCTATAGGTCATCGCTGGCAACACGCACACTTAGGGTAGATTTTGAAGTTTATGGGACTACCCCGTCGAGTTCAATTCGTCGGTTGACTACTTGGTCGAAGTTAGACTTACCTAGTGGGGTAATTACAGCCTCTCGTCACAGATTGAATACAGAACATAAACAGAAACTTTTTTAATCAATATGGATTATAAATTATACTCAATTTATCACCGGTTCAGAAAAACCTCTGTCCTGGGAAGAACCAGTCAGAAACCCAGCGGGACTTTAAATAAAAAACAGCTTACAACCATGTAGTTAGAATTAATGACACAAAACAAATTAAAAATAGCTTGGTAGCGATCATCTTTAATATTATACTAACCCTTTTTATACAAATTTAGTGTAATAAAATTTTTAAACTTTGTGCAGGGAAATTTTGTATATTTTCTTGGATTTTGTTGTTGAGTCGAGTAACTGGTACTACTAGCTTGTGTCTGTTCCTAAAATTTACAGAAATAATATCACTTATTTTTGTAAAATTACTTTTATTTTTGTGTACGTGCATTACATTTTCATAAATGTATTGAGAAGCCAAAGCTAATCAATTAATTTTCTCAAATTGTTTGAGCGACTCTGTAGTATTTATATCATAGATTGTTGAAATGGCCCTCTTCTGTAAAACAAATACAAATTCAGTGTCAGTCGCGTGTCCCCATTAGATATGAGCGCTGATGGCCAATTCCACGGCGGCAGCGAGGCCTGAAAATTTCCACAGCAGCGGCCGTGGGACTCGATTATTTTTTTATCACGGAAAGACTTCTTAAAATAAACTTAAAGAAAACCATATATATTGTTGTTACTAAAAAAAGCTTTATACGAGTATTTTTAATAAAGGAACATATTTGTTATTTACCATTTCACAGTGATCTAAATCAGTGATTCCCAAAGTGGTCTATATCGACCCTAGGGGTCTATGACAACCTGCAAGGGGTCCACGTCAGCGAAAAAAAATTTGGGGGTCCATGAAATGAAAATGGGGGTCCACGATAGTGGATCTCAACACATACACTGATAGTACCTATTTACTTACATCATAC